CAGCGGAGGAGCGATGGCACAGCAAGGTCCAATACCCTTTACCACCCCTCTTCTACAAGTACCACGTTGATCACAGGAGCCGGTCGGCGCTATCAATCTGGAGCTACAGGGCAGTCGGTTTGCACTGCACTTGAGCCACAACGATCGGTGCGGAGAGCTGCTCTGGAGTTCAGAACCGCACTCGGCGCATTCGTCTCGGCTGTGCAAGCACCCGGTTCACTGAAACGACTTCATGCGGTTTTGCACGTGGCAGTGCCCCCTGCGCCAGTTGACCGAGTGTACGCGACCACGAGTCCGGCGACAGAGTAACACAGACATTGACCCACTCCGAACCCCAAATCCAGCCAATGGCAATTCGATCTCTCGTGTGCTATGCCACTGCCGCTGACCGGAGAGCACGACTACGTTGTTGTTCGCAAGGGAAAGCTCCACAAAGGAACAACTGCACGATCTGAATGTGGATTCTGCAGATTTCGGGCCCTTGAAACAACGACATAGTGCAAACTGTCGGGCATCGTCTTGAAAGCCCGTGCAACGCGGGCCGGCTGTTGTTCAGCCGACTCGTGCCGCCAGTAAATCAATTCGGTCGTAGCCTGCAGCCGTCGAGCCAAAATAACAGCGCATTTTCAAGAATTTGCAATCCAATGTCCGAAATCTGCTGCATGCCCACCTCCGAATCCCCAAATCCCGAAGAAGCGACAGGAATCCAACTGGTACCGCCTCCATCGCCTGGGCCCCAAGCCCGCCCTCCGCCTCATCTTGCACGTGCTGAGAAGAGCGGCCTTGCCAGGGCTTTCACAGCGCAAGCGCAGTGGGGAAAGGCACGAAGACCTGGGCGTGGCCATGGTCACCTCCCGAACTACTGGGCCGGTCATGGGGCGGCCCAGCACCTCCAAAACTGCGGAAGTACAGACCAAAGACGAGCTCGGAAGCGATGCCGAGCCCGCCGCCACACGTGGCTCCAGGGACGGAGAGGAGCGGGAAGACGCCAGGGCCCTGGCTGAGACCAAGCACTGAGCAAGCATGGCTTAGGCTTTGGCTTCTTTGATGCGTCTGCTCTCCGAAAGCCACCTGGGCGGGTACGGGATAGTGTGGGATAAAACAGGGCTGTTCTCAAGCAGGCCCAAGCACGTTGTGCTAGACCACTACATGGGATCTTGTGCTCCAGAGACAAGCAGCTGGAGCGACCACGCGCTCGGGGTGAGGTCCCTTGGCCCGCTTCGCTCCACAAGGTGCCCATCCTCGTCTCTCGCAAAGTGCAGCAGATCAGATGCAGAAGTCTACCCGCCCGGAGCCTTGTGCGATGGGACCATGGGCTTGGTCCGTGGCTGGGGCCTCAGGGTGGCTCCTGCAGGGTACCAGTGCTCATTGAGGATCTGCTAGGCTGAAGCAGCTAGCTGCTTCCGTCTATGGGATGCCGCTCCTGAGACGCCTGTACTCTGGAAAGCGATGCGGGATGTGCGCACGGAGCTGTATGGCCTTTGTGAGCATCTTTTCTATCCGCTTCGGTGGCAAGCCGCCGTCTAATTACATACCTTTGCAGCGGAATGTGGATGAAAGATGACAAGACTGGCCCCTCACATGCAGCTGCCAGTGCTGTGGAGAACCGAGCCATACGACCTGGCAGAATCCAACCCTCCAGCGAGTACAAGTTGCATGCAACCAGCCAAAAGAGCTAGCCTGGGCTGAAGCTGCGTGGCTGAGGAAGCGAGTCGGCTGGCGATTGGCGTGATCTGAGCAAGTCCGGCCAGTCGGTGGCACGACGGCGTGTGATTGACAGGCAAGGTCTTGAAATCTTGCTCGCAATGCCACACTGCCCATCCAAACCTGTGCCGGTCGCAAACGCGCACTGTAGGTCTCCGAATGCCTGCAGGAAGCTAGGCAGGCCATGAGCAAAACAGCCAAAGCACAGGGCTTAGGCCTTGCAATTCGGGTTGACAGCGGCGGACTGACACCAACCTGGAGGAACGCGACAAGAACAAAGCTTTCGATGGGGTCCTCACGGCTGCCTCCGGCTCAGAGATGCTGTGCAGGCTCCGGGACCTGACACAAGGAAGAAACTGAAGAAGAAGAAGAAAACTTGGTATCCGAAGCTTCCCATGCCGCGAGTCAACTCCAAAGGAGCATGTCACCGGACACACGCAAGGACGTCCGCATCGCAAACTAGCAGTTTTCTGGAAGATCTTGTAGATAGCTTCTGGAATACAACGAGGGAAGGAGCTGGAACGGAAATGCACGAGCCTGACCTATCACCGGGGATCTAGACTGGGCGAACACTCGGACACAAGAGTTACAATTTACAAGCTGTATCTCCTCTCGGCTTAGACTCCGCAGCTCTCGGTGACACCCCGCCTGTACAGTGCCGACGACTGCCCGCTCTCCGGCTGGAGCGGCTCGGCAGTTGCACCTGGCTTTGGCGTGCTGGAGACTTGGAAGGTCTGCAAGGGGCTGTACTCTGGCTCAAGATGGGGCTTCGAATCTGGGCCTCATAATTTCCATCGACTTGGCGACTGGAGTCTCCTTCTTCGTGCCCATGGGTTCTGTGGATTGGATACGGATTGTGACATGAGTCGGAAGAGAGGCTTTGTCATCACCCCTTCTCACGCCAAGGTTATTCTGAGTCTGACTCGATAATGGGCGTTTGATACAGCCTGAACCTGAGGCTCAGGCTGACTTCTGCCGGCTTCCCTTCGACCGCTTTGGCCGCTTGGACCTTCGAATCTTGCTGATGCAGTCGGCTCTTCTTCGCTCCAGGTCAGTTTGCCAAACCGACTTAACGTTGCTGTCGACTAGACTCTAGATCCTCTTGCACTGTTACAGCTACCAGGCATGCTGTCGGCAAGACTTGCTTTCCCAGGGAGGGCACGTGGTGTGTTTAGATTGTTCGTCCAGCATGCTGTGGACGTTGCTTTTCAGGGGGTCTCAGCCATCATGTCGAGTTGACCTGTATCTTCTTCAGGCGATTGGGTGCCCCTCAAGACAGACTTGGCCCTTCGAAGCTTCCGCTGCTTCGCAGGTCGGACGCTGAGGTACTGGCAGGCGTTGCCCGGGCTGATGCTGCTTTGGAGCCTCCACCGCACGAGGACAACAACAAAGGCATGAACAGCAAAGGCATGGCCATGCCGCAATCCTGTCTCACCGAACCATTCATTGACGACCAAATGCTTTGCCAGCGAGCCGGGTCACTGGCAAAAACCTAGCTAGCTACTCTCAGTGGATAACGGCCGCCCTTGAACAGACAAGCACTTCTGACTTAAACTCAGGCATTTAAGCTGATGCTGTTGCCCTCTGGATCATGAACTCATGAACTCATGAACTCAACAGCTTCCAGTGGGGCCTGGTGTAGGGACCTCTCGGCTCGGAGAGCGCCTTGCCCGGACAGCCGGGACTATCTGACGTCGTGACCTCAGCTCAATAGAGAAGGCTGGCAGAGACGAGTTGAATCAGAAGATCAAGCTGAAGAACGGGGCTTTGGGGTGTGGGGAGACTGATCTTGGCAACATGGAGCCTAGGCCCAGACGATAAGAGAGTCTTCGGCGGGTCCACGTAGCCCCGCGCGCTGTACGGGACGGTGCGGCGAGGGCCTTCATCTTGATCACAACGCAACACAATCATGTAAGCTCCAGCTAAGCGCAACACCGATGCGACCGAGGAGGACGACCGTACTGTGTTAATTGGATCTTTGCGAGCCTTTTTCTTTACCTGCTTTTCTGGACATACAGCGGGCTCCACTAAATTATCTGTATAATTTAAAACGTTTGAAACCTACACATCCCTGTCTGAAACAAACAAACGAACCAACAAAAGTAAAACCATAAAAACACACACACACACACACGCACAGATACACCCGGACACAGAGTCCTTGGACAATTTCGAGCCCTCGGCCCTCGGCTCGAAAGAGTTCCGGGTTTCAACTCGCATGCTGGGCTGCCGCGCTCAGAGCTGGTGGACCCGGAGGCGCCACAGCGGTGGCACTGCGCGTCGGCCGAGCGCCGCTCTGGGATGGGCTCCGCGGGGAGGGCGTGCAGAGCATTACCGGAAAACCCTGAAAAGCAGGAAACCTTGGGTTTGGATCTCGGGGGGGGGGGGGGAAGAACTCTGGCCTCCAGCTCGCTCGGACCCTGCATTCCTATACTCTGCTGTTTGCCTGGACCTACCTCGCAAAGACAGCTTCGGGCAGGCCAAGATGCCAATGCCAGAGGCTGGTGACCACCAAGAGCTAGCCGCGTTCTCGGCGAAGGCTCCGTGCCCTGAGGGTTGTCCAGTCTTCTGTGGGATCTGAATGAAGGCAGTACCAGGAACATGTCGTATTCTCTGTTGGGTAGCCCAGTATACAACCACACACACACACACACACACACACACACTCTGCAGGTCTCGGCAATGTGCAATGTGCATGCCTGCCTTCTCAGAACCGAAAGCAGTGCGTATCAGCGACGGTCGTGACGCGGGTGGCTGGCCCTGAAAGGGTCTTCGGCAGCGGACTCATGCGGGCCCGTTCAACCCCGATCGCTGTGCCATTATGGTGCTGTAGCAGCAAGACGAAAGATACACACAGACATGAGCTGTTCCCGTATCCCGCCTGGCTGGTCGTCGGAGTTTGCGAGGCCTCGTGTTGACAAACGTACTCGCAAAAACGCTGTTTGTGTCTGTTCCCCAAGAAATCCAACATGACCGCCACGCTCTCCTGTCTCCTCCACTCACCCCCACGACGTACGGGATTGAATCATACTTAATATCTTGGCAGTTGAGAGCTGCTCATGATGATCCGAGATCTCGAAACTTGAGGACTCCCTGCTCTTCCCGCCAATACTTAGGACTTACTTCGCGCGATGGCTCAATGCATCTTGTCACGCTCCAAAACCGAGCATGTTCTTGGGTCCCGAAAAGGAGACTGCTTCTTTGCAGCAGACAGCAACAGACATGATTCGGCCGTGCCATACTCGTTGCAACCTTTTGTTCTTCGCACTGCTCGCGCTGGCGTAGGTTGAGCGCTACATACACATTCCTGGCAGACCCGTCTGACTACAGGGACGAACAAGGAGCTGCAGCATCAGTACCGTCTGTCAAACTGTTGAATCAGACGCATGTCTCGCGCGGCGTGTTCCACCAGAAATGCTGCATTCATGCCGGTCACACGGATCTGGAAGGCCTGTGGACTACCTACTGGTCTACCTATCTTGCCTGGATGGCACAACCTGCCTCGCAGGCCTTTGAGGTGGCTCTGGTCCAGAAACCACACTATCAATCAGAGTAAGTGACAGGGCGGGTGAGCGCATGTCTCAGAATGGGCGATGCAGCTTCAAGGTTACAGCAGTGCTTGCTGCACGGCTTACGGATAGCAGCTGTCGAGATGCTCGGTTCACGCAATCGAGATTCCTTGTGCATAGAGTGGCCCGGTTACAGCATGATCCAGCCGTGTAGTCATTCGCGGCAGGCTACAACTGGGCCACAACTGTCACACCGCTCATGCACCATAGCCACCCGCATGCAGAAAGCGCGCATGGTGCTCCAGGTGCTCACCTTGGCTGCCGTCAGCCAACTTAGAGTGTGAATTCGGAATTTCAGCTTCTGCAGTACCATTACAACACAAAGGTGCAGCACTGCTGCTGCACTGAATGTACGAATGTGCAAGTTTCAGAAGCTGAGTGATACGCATGCCAAACAATGACTAGTTGTGTGACTGGTTCTTCTTGCTTTGGGCGAGAGTCGAATGAAAGTCGACATGAAGTAGTACGAGTGGTCATACCCGGCCTGCATCCTGCACTGCTGGCAGTTTGCTAGTTGCCCTGCCCAAGCCACAAACGAGCCGTTGTGATCCCCTCTGGTTGATGTCCTGAAGGTGATTGGGACCTTCGCCTGCTGTGCTGCGGCCATGAAGGCCAACGGCTGCAACTGGTTCACGTCGCCCACGAGAAAGCCGTCGGCCTCGTTTGGCGCCTACACTCCAGCAACTGCAATGGGCGAGGCCTCTTGTCAGCCTTGCCATACCAGATGAATCACACCGCTGCGTAGAACATCTTGAGCTAGCACCCGACAATCCAATGTGCTGTTCAAAATGAATGCGACGAGTAGCCGTCCCACAGTCGCACAGGATATGCAGATCTTTGCCTCCGTCGACAGACGCGACTTCCAAGCTACAATAGAAGCTGATCTTTAGAATAGAACTGCACACTCAGCAGTGCGTACAAGTCTTGCTAAACTGTTCCGTTTTTCCCCTCGGGAAGAAAACCAAACACCAAAAAGCGTTCTTGGTCGCACATCCGCAAGTAGCATCCACACAGCCAGCTCGAAATTCACGCGGCCAGCAAATGGGTGAATTGCGCAAACTGAGGACGATACAGAAATTTCAGGGTGGACATTCGCGTTACTAGCTTGTAGTGTCCTCAAAGTTCACAACGCCTGCAATACAAAGATACAGAAACTTCAGGGTGGACGTTCGCATTACGAACTTGTAATGTAGCATCCTTACAGTTCACAACACCTACAATCCAAAAGACACGTAAATTTCAGGGTGGATGTTCGCGTTACAAACGGTTCACAACGCCTACAATACACAGATACAGAAATCTCAGGGTGGACGTTCGCGTTAAAAGCTTGTAGTGTCCAAAACAAAGATACAGAAGCTTCAAGGTGGTCGCACCTTTGTACTGCGAGACGAGCTCGGTGGCATCGTACTGCTTCCAGCCCTGCTTGGATTGGGACTGCATATTGGTACTTATGTGAGGGTCTGTGAGTGGATATTCTTCTAACCCAAACCCGGCCTGCTGGTCCTCCCCCAAGTAGAGCTTGAAAGCTTTCTGCCCCCAAGGAACGTTCATTGGGTTGCAGATTGGGGCAAAGGCAGACACCGAAGTGTACCTCACTGGGGCCAGCGGCTAGAAGCCAACCGGCAAAGCTTTCTGCTCCTCGCAAATCTACAGAGCTCCTTCGCACCTCTCCGGGTTCTTCATGGCGATAGTCAGCGCACCGTGGCCGCCCATAGAGTGGCCTGGGCTTTTGATTCCTGGCACGACTCACCACCCTTCATTCGCCCAAACGCCAAGCAAAGCGGACGCTGCGCGAGGCCCGACTCAAAACTGCCAACTCTCAACGCCAAACCAACAAGCTCGCCATGCATCTCAGCCATAACCCCCGAACATCCCCAAGCCCTACACTCCTACACACCGAAACGCTTCACCACGCTAAGTCGGGTGGCCGGAGATCGCCCGCTTGGAGCTGACGGGAAAGTTGGCCTCTCGCACGACGACGAAGACGATGACAATGCAGGACATGAAACTGAGACGGCGATGATGATGATGATGATGATGATGATGATTCTGATGATGATGATGGTGGTGATAACGAAGATGAGGAGATGCAAGATATAACAACATATTCATCATCGCGACGGTGACGATGACAGAAGACGACAACGATGAGGAAGCAACGCAGCACCAGCGGCAAAAACAGCAGGAATAGTGGTAAGCATCAAGATTTGATCGTCAGCGTCATCGTCAGCATCATCACCGGCATCTTCTTCTTCACACGCGGCAGGAGAGGTGTCCTGCGAACGCACTACAACTCTCGTAAGAGTCGGCCGATCATGATGGCAGGCAAGTATGCCTCGTATGGGCATCAGTGGTAGCGAAAGAGTACAGGAGTAAAAGGGGTCGCACCGAGGCATCGTTAAACGAGTTGACTCAGATTGACTCAGGAATGCTTTGCAAATCTGAGTTTCAGCAGATTTTCTCCACACGTCCACAAGTCATCCATCGTCTCGGGCATGATCAGTACCGGCACCGGAACTGTGCACTTGTTCCTGGATTCGCGCCTCACCCCGGCTTCGAGGACTCTGATGTGTCCTTGCATCCTGTTCTGGACATCACCGGCATCTAACCATCGCCACCACCACCACCAACACAATCGACATCATCATCATCATCATCATCATCATCAACAACAGCATCATCATCATCATCATCATAAGCACCATCGTCATCTCCTCCAGCATCATGTTGTTGATCATCGGCAATAGCATCATCTGTTGATTCACACTTACCATAGCTGTCATCACGGCCACCATCATCATCGTCATCACAGTCAACATAACCACGCTGATGTCACTCACGGTGATCGCTCGCCGACCACCGAACTCCAATTCCTTCCTGGAAGCCCCCCTGGGCCTCCACAAAGTCAGGAAGCTCCTTGACCACAAAATCATACCTTGCCCGGACACATCTCCTCTGAAAATTTGATAACCACGCACTGCTACATTCGATTTGAACTGTTAAGTGGCATGTTGTAGTGCGTCTTGTACTTGTCCGTCGTGGCATTCAAGTAGAACCCAGCTCCGATTCCAAAATCATAGGCGTGCGGCTCCTGGTGCGATGATGTAAAGAGTAGCAGGCATCAAAGACCTGCAATGGCCACTGTGTCTTGGGCAGCGACAGTTTTCGAGCCTACGATGACTAACAGACAGCTCCTCGTCTGGTACACCATCGCCTCGTGGAGAGGTATCCGGCATCACCAAGACAACCTGCCATCTGCTTGCGATGTTTTTTCAATCTCGTGCCGACAAGCTTTTGCCACCCCTCTCCTGTTGCTCCGACTGCTTCCGTTACCTTTACTACTGCAAGTTACTACTTTCCATGTGCTTTGCGATCAGAAGTATTACTAATGCCAGTGAAAATGCAGGAGAACACTATGCTTCTGGAACTGCTACTGCTCCCGCTCCTGCTAGTGCTACGACTACCACTGCTGTTACAGCTACCGCTACCGCTACCACTGCCGCTACCGCTACCGCTACTGCTACTGCTACTGCCACTGCTGCTACCGCTACTGCTACTCCTGCGGCTACTGCTACTGCTACGGCTACGGCTACGGCTACGGCTACTGCTACTGCTACTGCTGCTGCTACTACTACTACTACTACTACTACTACTGCTGCTGCTGCGGCGACTACTACGACGACTACCACTGCTACTACTACGACGACGACGAACGTCCACCACAGGACCACCACCACCGGACCACCGGCACCACCACCACCACCACCACCACCACCACCACCACCGTTACCACGGCTAGTTCGTCTTTTCGTCCCCAGGCCGGGCCTGATTGTCACAGGCGGCCTGGAAGGCGCCTGCTTTCTGGGAGAAGTTCTCGTCTGTGCATGTCAAGCCAGACAGCCAATACACCTTCGGTTTTGCGCTTGCCACAGACCCGAAGTCTATTGATGGTAAAATGCAGAGCAAGAAGAAGGACAACAGCTGCTCGGCCATGTTAAATATATTTACCTGTTCCACATCTGGGTGTTTGACACGTCATGCCTGACGCACTTTAGGGCTTAGGGCTTAGGGGTTCGGGTTTAGGGTTTAGGTCGTCGGGTTTAGAGCCGGGCTCTGACTGAAAGACCAGACCAGATGCCACTGGTAGCTTCTTGAACTCCGTGGTGTCTGGCAAGTAGGCTGCAAAAATGGTGGGTGTGTTGCCGAGGGTCCTGTGGATTTCCGATTTCCGACAATGTCTAACACGAATACAGCACACTGACTCGGGCTCCCCCACGAAAACGAACTACGGGATTTTTGCCGTCAGACTGGCAACAGAAGCTCTTGTCATGAGTCCTTGAAGTGAACTCGACTCGCTTCAGCATTCCTGTCGGAATGAGCCAACCGTGCACGACCCAGTAGCATCATTAGCTGCAGCCACAGCGTTGCCTTGTGCGACGCGCACGGCTGACTTGACGGAGAAGCTCGCCATGACCCCTGCAGACTGCACCAATCACCAGGGGCTGAAACTCTACAGAGCATCAGGCATTTTCGTGCAACCTGCCCGGCCTGCAAAGCCACAAAGCACCAGCGGCCCTAATCCCTACGCGACGGTCTACAAGAGCCGGTGTCCAGCAGAGACTTGCGTGTCCAGATCGGAAGAGCAGGAAAGGTTGCCTAGCTCGCGACTGCTTTGCAATCAGCCTCCAGTATCTCCAGCCCAAAGATCTCAGAGGCCCGTGCCGTTTTCAATGACTTCTCACTACCTCGCACGGTCAACATTCAACTGACCCTACTCCTAGCTTTGCTACCTCACGCACCGGGACCTGAGCTGAGCTTTTGTATGGTCCAACGAAATGAACGAAGCTCGCCATTTCGGGAACTGAGACATCTGCGCCCAAGTGGACTCTTCTGAGAAGCCTGGCAGCCGCCAAAATACTCAACCCCAGGATGCACCCGAAAGTACTTCACATCTGCACTACACATTCCTGGCAGAGCCTCGCGGGAGACACGCGTCAAAGAAATAGCACCGCCTGGAACGACAGAAACGATCCGTCTTAGATATACGTTCAACAAATGTGGCTTGAAGACATGCTGACTCTTGACATCTCTTGATTCATGTTGGGACTGGTATCCAAGAAATCCACGGCATCCAGGCTAGCCGCCACTGGCCTGCACTCTTTCGACCACCAGCCTCGCCAGGTCTTGCCACCTGCTATGCAGATCAAAGCTTCTCCAAGAGTTGTTTGGCACCGCCCGACTGAATCTCGCCGCCAACTGCAAAAAGGAGGCCCGATTCGGAAAGCACCGGACATTCCCGCAAACACTGTCAATGCGGGAACATGCCTGAGGTAAGGTCGGCAAACATCAGCGAAGGCTCGACAAGGACCCCGAGCGATTCAGGAGAACGAGCGCTCGAACTACTACTGCTACTACGACTGCTACTACGACTGCTACTACGACTGCTACTACTACTGCTACTGCTGCTAGCGCTACTGCTACCGTACTACCACCACTACCACTACCACTACCCCTACCACTACCACTACCACTGCTACTACCACTGCTGCTACACTACT